GTTCATGGTTTTTACAGAGGGAACCCAGTCTCTGTGAGAGTCTGCAGCAGTGGGGGAGGGTCCCAGCTCAAAAGTGGCCAAAATGACATGCTGCAATACCACCCCGGGCCGATGGGGGTGGACCCAGAAGAAGAATTAGCCAATGCTAACATATAGCTTTGGCAGACCTCTCAAAAACACCTTTACAGGATGGACCAAAAGTTGTCTCTTGGCCCAAAGCTCCGTTCCACATGTGTGTCAATGCTGAGGGGGGTGGATTTTTTTGGTCCACTCTAGTTTACTTGCTGTGAATTTTTTAATTCTCTCATTCAAATGAATGGAGTTGCGCCGGCTGACGACCATTAGAACATTTTTGGGAGTGCATAAATTCACCCCAATATCAGCTACACAGGGGGACATGGGCTGGGAGCCGTGTCTCATTAAGCAGAAGCTGAAATGGTGCGTTTATGGAAGCGCCTCATCCAGCTGCCCAATCACAGGCTCACAAAAAGATTTTTAATTTGAACTGTTCAAACAATTACCCCTGGTCTAGAGAAATGGCGGAAGTGTTCTTAAGTTCTCATTTAAATTATGTTTATCTAAATAAACTAAAATGTGATATAAGTTTGTTTAGACAAAACGCATTAACAGAGTTTAAAGCACAATGGAAACTTGATATTTGCAGGAAACCTAAGTAAAGACATTATATTTTATTTAAACAGGAGTTTTACACAGAACTGTACATCCAGTTTAATGTACCCAGAAGGCAGCGCTCTCTGTTAGCCCAGCTGAGGACTGGCACTTTGAAGGCAGCGCTCTCTGTTAGCCCAGCTGAGGACCGGCACTTTGAAGGCAGCGCTCTCTGTTAGCCCAGCTGAGGACCGGCACTTTGAAGGCAGCGCTCTCTGTTAGCCCAGCTGAGGACCGGCACTTTGAAGGCAGCGCTCTCTGTTAGCCCAGCTGAGGACCGGCACTTTGAAGGCAGCGCTCTCTGTTAGCCCAGCTGAGGACCGGCACTTTGAAGGCAGCGCTCTCTGTTAGCCCAGCTGAGGACCGGCACTTTGAAAGCAGCGCTCTCTGTTAGCCCAGCTGAGGACCGGCACTTTGAAGGCAGAGCTCTCTGTTAGCCCAACTGAGGACCGGCACTTTGAAGGCAGCGCTCTCTGTTAGCCCAGCTGAGGACCGGCACTTTGAAGGCAGCGCTCTCTGTTAGCCCAGCTGAGGACCGGCACTTTGAAGGCAGCGCTCTCTGTTAGCCCAGCTGAGGACCGGCACTTTGAAGGCAGCGCTCTCTGTTAGCCCAGCTGAGGACCGGCACTTTGAAAGCAGCGCTCTCTGTTAGCCCAGCTGAGGACCGGCACTTTGAAGGCAGCGCTCTCTGTTAGCCCAGCTGAGGACCGGCACTTTGAAGGCAGCGCTCTCTGTTAGCCCAGCTGAGGACCGGCACTTTGAAGGCAGAGCTCTCTGTTAGCCCAACTGAGGGACCGGCACTTTGAAAGCAGCGCTCTCTGTTAGCCCAGCTGAGGACCGGCACTTTGAAGGCAGCGCTCTGTTAGCCCGGCTGAGGACCGGCACTTTGAAGGCAGCGCTCTCTGTTAGCCCAGCTGAGGACCGGCACTTTGAAGGCAGCGCTCTCTGTTAGCCCAGCTGAGGACCGGCACTTTGAAGGCAGCGCTCTCTGTTAGCCCAGCTGAGGACCGGCACTTTGAAGGCAGCGCTCTCTGTTAGCCCAGCTGAGGACCGGCACTTTGAAGGCAGCGCTCTCTGTTAGCCCAGCTGAGGACCGGCACTTTGAAGGCAGCGCTCTCTGTTAGCCCAGCTGAGGATCGGCACTTTGAAGGCAGCGCTCTCTGTTAGCCCAGCTGAGGACCGGCACTTTGAAGGCAGCGCTCTCTGTTAGCCCAGCTGAGGACCGGCACTTTGATGGCAGCGCTCTCTGTTAGCCCAGCTGAGGACCGGCACTTTGAAGGCAGCGCTCTCTGTTAGCCCAGCTGAGGACCGGCACTTTGAAGGCAGCGCTCTCTGTTAGCCCAGCTGAGGACCGGCACTTTGAAGGCAGCGCTCTCTGTTAGCCCAGCTGAGGACCGGCACTTTGAAGGCAGCGCTCTCTGTTAGCCCAGCTGAGGACCGGCACTTTGAAGGCAGCGATCTCTGTTAGCCCAGCTGAGGACCGGCACTTTGAAGGCAGCGCTCTCTGTTAGCCCAGCTGAGGACCGGCACTTTGAAGGCAGAGCTCTCTGTTAGCCCAGCTGAGGATCGGCACTTTGCACTTTTGATGAGCTGATAAAATAAAAATATATTAGCAATATACACTCCCAGGGTTAGGACCAAGCAGCCTGGCTGTAATCGCCCACCTGGTACACTTACCAGAAGGGGCACTGCCACTACCATGGGGTGCATCTGGATGAATGGTTGAAGGTTCTCCGCTTGAAGTTTCTTTTAGCCCGTCCGTTTGTGAGTGAAATAAAAATACAAGTGGCCTTTAGGGGAAAAAAATCATACATATTTTAATAATATCAAGAATTACCTTCAGGCTCAATTTGTATCTGGTCGAGGCTCTTTCCTTCGAATTCCGTCACTCTTCCCTGCTCCATGGCCATTAACACTTTGCTGATTTTGGCCAGCTCCAGTGTCCCCTCTGGTAGTCTGTAATATTGTCTGTGGATGCGAATGTCATGGCCGAGGAAGTTGGCTAGTATGTCCATCTCATTCTCTTTCATATTGAGAACTGTAGACATAGTAGCTATGTGCTTTCTAAGTTTGGTTGAGGATAGCATCTCTGGATGCACCGCACCACATTCTTTGGCTACCTGCCGTAGGGAGTCTGATCCCCTGATGTGGGTGTCTGCGCCCGGGCGGGAGAAGAAGTATGGGTTATGGTCAGAGATGGAACAGGCCCTTCTGTTCTCCACCAGCACCTCCATCCAAGCAATCATTTCAGGAGTCAAAAGAACCACCACTTTCCGACTTCTTTTCCCTTTAATTTCAATGCGTTGAAAATGCTGACACAGCTTTTTCTCAAGTTGGGACAGTCCCAGAGCAATGTCAGAATGGATCCCAGTCTTACTTCTTAAGGTAAACGCTGTCAGTGGCATCTTTGAAACCTCACCTTCCCTTCTTCGATTGAAAATAATGACCTCACAAAGAGTCAAAACTGCCAGTTTAGACCAATGCTTAGACGTTGGCTCACTTATTAGGGTTTGCACATATTCAGGTCGACATACCTCAATATGTGCATGCATGGCTCTAACGTCCTCAGTCAGAGGGAGCAGGTCCGGAGTGTTCCACTTGGCTTGCCGGAGGGTCTGTAGGGCAGCAGAAGAAACACAGACGTCCCACCTCTTCTCAAAAAGCAGCCGGCTTCGTTGGAGGTTTTTAATAAATAGTTCATCAACACAATGCTCCATTTTTGAGTCACATTCAAGAATATCTGCTAGCTTTCTGAGGCTATGGCCGAGTTTGAGGGCCAAGGATGGAGTCTTGTATTGATTTGTTTCCTCATCATATCCAGCCACAGACCTGACTGCATCAATCACATGGTTAAAGTTGGAAGGAATAAAGAAATCCTTCATTGTTTTCAGTTTCCCTGCGGTTTTTGCTTCGTTAATTAACCTACCGACTTCTCTCATTTTCTGCCTAATGTAATCATGCTTAGTCTTATCATGCCCGTGTTTTAAGTACATGTGCTCTCCGAGTCTCAGAATCCCCTTTTCTGCTTTGACAACACCCGTGACCTCATCCTGATGCATTGCCCAAATTAAAGACCACAGCTTTTTGCTGATGCCCTCCGGTACAGGCTGGGCTAGGGAGCAGAGGGACTGGACCCTACTTCTACCTGGTTTAGCCTGGGCATCTTTCTGTGAAAGCCGGCACCTGGCCACATGCCTCCACAGCCACTTTCGCTTAAGCAATGCCCCACAGTCTATACAGTGCAAAAACTCACTGGATTTAACTGGGGAATTTGGCTGTTTAGCTGGGACTAAAGTTCCAATGCCGGCCTTTAAAACCTCAACATTGTGCTCACGGTTTCCACTATTCCTGATCAAATCAAACTGAAGTTTACGTGCTTTAGGTTTCACAGGTAGAGCCAATGCTCTGGCTACGTCACTTTCATTTCCATGTTTTCTAGTCAAATGACGGGACATTTTGTGGCAGGACATTGAACAGTAGAGGCAGAAGTGTCTCTTGCTGTATACTCGCCCCCCATTTTTCTTCTTTTGCAGCTGCATGATAACAATCTTATTTGCCTTTGGTTCGTCACTTTCCGAGTCTTGAAGAAAAGTGTTTTTGATTTTTCTTTTTCCATACTTTTTTACAGGTTTCTTCTTGACTGTTAAATCGTCAGAATCTGAGTCGACTTCATCAATTAGGGACTCTTGACTAAGCTGCACAAACAACAAATAATTTGTAATAATTCTATATAACAATTTGAAGTCATGACTTATAGTCAGCACTTACCAGTGGGTTGTAAGCGTGCGCTTCAGTGTGCTGCTCTATGATTGGCTGCAGCCTCTGTTGTGCTGCTTCATGATTGGCTCCAGCCTCTGTTGTGCTGCTCCATGATTGGCTCCAGCCTCTGTTGTGCTGCTCCATGATTGGCTCCAGCCTGCTGGACTGAAATTGCCCCAGTGTGCCCCTCCTTGATATTCCGCAACCCACCACCAGGGTTCCGACACATAACACACTTTTTTCAGGAAAGTAAACCTCCAGGGGTCCTTTCCATATTTTTACAGAGACTGCATAAGGACCGTTAGAAAAGCATTACCCATTGATTATTAAGCTTGGACCAGTGGGGTCCGGTGTTCGGGCCCCACCACGTAAAACCAGTCCCCATGACGTGAGTGGAATCTCAGGTTATGGAACCCACCAGGAGTTGAAAACAAGTGCACACACACACACACACACACACACACACACACACACACACACACACACACACACACATACACACACACACACACACACACACACACGTTAAATCATTTCTTTGTCTTTTGGTTCAGATTGATGTACAGTGTGAAATGGAAGCCTCTCCTCCTGAGTCTGTGAGGTCCAAGACTCCTCCTCCTGAGTTCTCTGAGTCTGTGAGGTCCAAGACTCCTCCTACAGAGTCTGAGTCTGTGAGGTCCAAGACTCCTCCTCCTGAGTTCTCTGAGTCTGTGAGGTCCAGGACTCCTCCTCCTGAGTTCTCTGAGTCTGTGAGGTCCAGGACTCCTCCTCCTGAGTTCTCTGAGTCTGTGAGGTCCAGGACTCCTCCTCCTGAGTTCTCTGAGTCTGTGAGGTCCAGGACTCCTCCTCCTGAGTTCTCTGAGTCTGTGAGGTCCAGGACTCCTCCTCCTGAGTTCTCAGTTGAACCTGCAGCAGCAAAGTAAGACATCATCTTCTGACAATTTGTTCACATGTGGAGTGTTTGTGCGTCTGTGTGTCTCGTTGTGTGTGCATGTGTGTGTATGCCTGCATGTGATGTGTGTGTGTGTGTTTATGGAGACTGATTTATATTAAACAAACAGGAGTCACATACCTCCCCTTTAAGCTCCCTCTGCACTCACAGTCAGAGGGTCCCTCTGAGGTCCAAGACCCTCTGCACTCACAGTCAGAGGGTCCCTCTCAGGTCCAAGACCCTCTGCACTCACAGTCAGAGGGTCCCTCTGAGGTCCAAGACCCTCTGCACTCACAGTCAGAGGGTCCCTCTCAGGTCCAAGACCCTCTGCACTCACAGTCAGAGGGTCCCTCTCAGGTCCAAGACCCTCTGCACTCACAGTCAGAGGGTCCCTCTCAGGTCCAAGACCCTCTGCACTCACAGTCAGAGGGTCCCTCTGAGGTCCAAGACCCTCTGCACTCACAGTCAGAGGGTCCCTCTGAGGTCCAAGACCCTCTGCACTCACAGTCAGAGGGTCCCTCTCAGGTCCAAGACCCTCTGCACTCACAGTCAGAGGGTCCCTCTCAGGTCCAAGACCCTCTGCACTCACAGTCAGAGGGTCCCTCTGAGGTCCAAGACCCTCTGCACTCACAGTCAGAGGGTCCCTCTGAGGTCCAAGACCCTCTGCACTCACAGTCAGAGGGTCCCTCTCAGGTCCAAGACCCTCTGCACTCACAGTCAGAGGGTCCCTCTGAGGTCCAAGACCCTCTGCACTCACAGTCAGAGGGTCCCTCTCAGGTCCAAGACCCTCTGCACTCACAGTCAGAGGGTCCCTCTCAGGTCCAAGAGTCCCACACCAGAGGTTTCACAGCAGAAGGCTTCCAAAATGTAAGATTTTAAATAAGGCCAGGACTCGATAAAAAAAATATTCTAATTAATTAGAGGCTTTGTAATTAATTAATCGCATTTTAATTGCATATAAATATTTGAGGAGGGACCATGGACGGGGATGATGGACCATGGGACATGACAGTTTGTCTGTTTTCTTTCCACAGAGACTCAGATTTCTCCTCAGCTCTGAGTAAGTGTTCCTTTTCTTCTTTTCTTTACTGCTCTGTGAAGGACAGAGACAGAGAGCACAGCGCCCCCAGTGGACACACATGTTACTACAGACAGAGCACAGCGCCCCCAGTGGACACACATGTTACTACAGACAGAGCACAGCGCCCCCAGTGGACACACATGTTACTACAGACAGAGCACAGCGCCCCCAGTGGACACACATGTTACTACAGACAGAGCACAGCGCCCCCAGTGGACAAACATGTTACTACAGACAGAGCACAGCGCCCCCAGTGGACACACATGTTACTGCAGGTGGATGGTATCCATCACTTTACTTTGAACAGGATAAAGACAAAAATGGCAAACGTCTGAGTTGTGTCGGACAAAAGACTTGTTTTATTGTCGATGGAGACGATACACGAATTACAGAGAGTGATAAAATAGCATAGAAGGCCCGACACCCCGAGGCTTTTGATATTGAATGACACATCAGACCTGAATCTAACTGTTAATGAGCATCGCACACTGTTTGCTGGTCTCACCGCTGCAAAAAAAATTATAGTGTGCCGTTGGAAAACTAAACAGCCTCTGAGTGTGAGGGAATGGCTCTCCTCGTACAGAGAGATCGCTCAATTAGAACTGTCAGCAGCCCGGGTTCATAAGGCCAAAGCGGTAAATGTAATCTGCTGGTCTAATTTATTGACCAAACTTGTATAGACTATACACCAGTGTATTATACATAGATCTATGTAAAACCCATAACTATTGTTCTTTATTTTCATTTACCCTTTCTGTAAGGCTTTGTCTTTTATTTTTTTATTTTTTATTTTTTTTATTTTTTTTCTTCTTTTTCTATTTGTTTATTATTGTGTACATAAGACTATGTAAACACTGCGGCTTCTGTCGATGTTCATAACGGAGGAAGTTCGCCATATTATGTGTCTGTAAATAATGATATGTTATTGATGCCTGGAGAATGGGGTGGGGTTAGCGGGGCTGGGTGTGTGCATGTGTGTGAGCGTGTGTTTGTGTATTTATGTTGGGATGGGTGGACCCATGGGAGGGAGGGGACAAAAAAAAAAAGTAAAATGTTTGCGCATTTGTTTTCTGTTTTGAAAACAAATGTTTTCGTGACCATTGTCATCTCTGTATGCAGCGCAACACAATAAATACTTGATCAAAAAAAAAAAAAAGAGGGGAGGCAGGGTTACACTACCCTGGATCTCAGCAGAAGATTATGAATACACTCAAGCTGATGGTTTTCAATATCAAATGTGTCGTTTTGCAAACAGCCACTCGAGGGCAGTGAGAGCTAACCTCTGGTGTTAAAATGTGGTTCTCATTCATAAAGTGTTATCAGTTATTTTGATTAAACATTCAAAGTCACATGTTTCTTTCCATTTAAGCTTTGAACAAGTAAAAAAATGAACCAAAAAAAAAATAGCATAGAAGAAGAAGAAGCAGATCCTTTATTGGTCCCACAGTGGGGAAATTTTAGTTTGATGAATACACACACACATCAAGGCCTGTCGCGATATTCAATAAATCAATAAACGGATTATAAATACAGGAGCCCCACAGGGCTGTGTTCTTTCTCCCCTGCTCTTCTCCCTGTACACCAACCACTGCACCTCCAGCCACGACTCCGTGAAGCTGATCAAGTTCGCGGACGACACCACCCTCATTGGACTCATCTCCAACAACGATGAGTCCGCCTACAGGAGGGAGGTGGACCGGCTGGTGTCCTGGTGCCGTGGTAACAACCTGGAGCTGAACGCCCAGAAGACAGTGGAGATGATTGTGGACTTCAGGAAGAGCACTGTCCCCCCGCCCCCACCCTCCGTGATGGACTCTCCCATCACCTCTGTGGAGTCCTTCCGTTTCCTGGGCACCACCATCACCCAGGACCTCAAGTGGGAGCCGACCATCAGCTCCCTCATCAAGAAGGCCCAGCAGAGGATGTACTTCCTGCGGCAGCTCAGGAAAGCCAAGCTGCCTGCACAGATGTTGGTGCAGTTCTACACGGCCATCATCGAGTCCATCCTCACCTCCTCCGTCACCTCCTCATCCTCTCCTCCATCACCTCCTCCATCACCTCCTCCGTCACCTCCTCCATCACCGTGTGGTTCGCTGGAGCCACAGTCAGGGACAAACAGAGACTACAGCGCATTGTGCGCTCTGCAGAGGAAGTGATCGGCCGCAGCCTTCCATCGCTGCAGGACCTGTACGTCGCCCGAGCTCGAGGCCGGGCTGGTCGTATCACAGCCGACCCCTCTCACCCTGCACATGGACTATTCCAACCACTCCCCTCTCACCTGCACATGGACTATTCCAACCACTCCCCTCAGGCAGGAGGCTGCGGTCCATCAGGACTAGAACCTCCCGCCACAAGAACAGTTTCTTCCCCTCTGCTGTTGGACTCTTGAACACTTCTTAACCTGTCCCCCCGCCCTTTATAAACTCACTTTACTGCCCATCATACGTCACTTTACTTCACTGTACTGCTGTCACCTTACATTGTGTGCACCATGTGCACTTGTATATTGTAAATAGTAACTGTAACTCTATTTTAAATTTATTCTTTAGAAGTGTTTTTTATTCTTATTTTTATTATCTCTTTTTGACTGTTGCACTGAGCCAAAGCAATTTCCAAGTCTGTGACCTCCTGTTACTTACGTTGGCAATAAAAAAAAAAAAAAATTAAAAAAAATGATTCTGATTCTGATAAACGCATGATAATTAAAATTAGCTCGATAATTTTTCTGACCGCCATAAATGCCATTTGCAGCTTGTTTGTTTTCCTCGTCTCTCTCTCTCGGGTCAGAGAGCCGCAAAGTGGTCACGGGAACATTAGCGGTCTAGTGAGCAGACTGAAAATACTCAAAAATATAAAATACAGCCATAGATACCAAAACAGGACATAACCAGGACTAAACCAGGACTTAACCAGGATGGACAATGCAGTAGTTGTGAACATATGCCAGCCTCTAGTAGTGACTAAACTAGCGCAGCTAGCATGTTCGCCGATGCGGAAGTACCGTAATAAAATAAACGTATGGCGCATCTCCGTGAACACATACTACTGTTATATAAAGTCACCGTGAACACATACTGCTGTTATATAAAGTCACCGTGAACACATACTGCTGTTATATAAAGTCACCGTGAACACATACTGCTGTTATATAAAGTCACCGTGAACACATACTGCTGTTATATAAAGTCACCTCCGTGAACACATACTGCTGTTATATAAAGTCACCGTGAACACATACTGCTGTTATATAAAGTCATCGTGAACACATACTGCTGTTATATAAAGTCACCGTGAACACATACTGCTGTTATATAAAGTCACCGTGAACACATACTGCTGTTATATAAAGTCACCTCCGTGAACACATACTGCTGTTATATAAAGTCACCGTGAACACATACTGCTGTTATATAAAGTCATCGTGAACACATACTGCTGTTATATAAAGTCACCGTGAACACATACTGCTGTTATATAAAGTCACCGTGAACACATACTGCTGTTATATAAAGTCTGTGAAGGTCTCAGACACAGAGACGCTGCATTATTGGAGATGAACTTTACACAAAAAGCCGCTAGCTTAATTCTGTTAGCATCAAAGCCCCCCTCTACCTCCGGCGGTGGTCTTTAAAAATAAAAGTTTATATCTCTTTGAAAACGTGTACCTGCATCATTATCATTGTGTTAGATAAAAATGATCTCAGAACGACAATAATATCGCTTATCAAAATAATTTCTGAGACGATTAATCGTCCAGCAAAATTTGTTATTGTGACAGGCCTAGTTATAGGCAAAGTGGGGTCAAGTGTCTTGCCCAAGGACACAACAACACCAGACATCAGTGAGAGTCGGTGGAGATTGAACCCACAAGCTTTAGGCTCAGAGGCCAATGCTCTACAACTGAGCCACTGTTGCTGATAGACCAATCAGCATTTACCACGATGTCAGTAGCTTTGGCCTTCAGACTTGACCAAACACATCCTGATGTTTCCAGGTTTGCACAGAGCGTGTTTGAAGATGCACTGTGACCATGTGACCGAAGGCTTTGAAGGAGCCGGAGAGAGAACGTCTCTGAGCAGGATCTACACCGAGCTCTACATCACACAGACCTACAGGATGGAGCAGCGGCCTCAACACGAGCTCCAGAGGCTGGAGGCTGGATTCCAGAAGGTCCAGGAGGAGATGCCCATCCCCTGCAAGGACATCTTCAGGACCCAGAGCCACGACCCGGGGCCCATCAGAGCCGTGCTGACCCTTGGCGTGGCAGGAGTGGGGAAGACCTTCTCTGTGCTCAAGTTCTGTGTGGACTGGGCCCAGGGCTCAGAGAACCAGGACCTGGATCTGGTTCTGCCACTGTCCTTCAGAGAGCTGAACCTGACCAGAGGGAGGCGCCACAGTCTGCTGGAGCTCATAGAGATGTTCCACCCGTCGCTGTGCCCGCTCTCCGCTCACTCTCTGCTCGTCAGGAAGGTTCTGTTGATCCTGGACGGTCTGGACGAGAGCCGGCTGCTCCTGGACTTCAGCTGTGAGCAGCTCTCGGACCCGAGTGTCAGAGCAGAGGTCGGTGTGCTGCTGGTGAACCTCCTCAGGGCCAGTCTTCTTCCTGATGCCCTGGTCTGGATCACCTCGAGGCCTGCAGCAGCCGCTCAGGTCCCAGTCAGATATGTGCAGCGTGTGACAGAAGTGCGCGGCTTCATGGAGCCTCAGAAACAGCAGTACTTCACCAAGAGCTTCTCAGACGAGCAGCAGCGTCTCACTGTCCTGTCCCACATCAGCTCCTCACGCAGCCTCAGCAGCATGTGCCAGATCCCAATCTTCTGCTGGATCACTGCCACCGTCTTGGACCACATGTTGAGAAGCACTCAGAGCGGCCCCCTGCCGCAGACCCTCACGGACATGTACGCACACTTTTTGTTGGTGCAAACCAAGAGGAAGAGAAAGTACAGAGCAGAGAGCAGCACACTGCAGGTCACTCCCAGTGACTGTGAGGTCCTCCTGAAGCTGGGGAGACTGGCCTTTGACCATCTGAGCATCGGGAACCTTATGTTCTACCAGAAGGACTTGCAGCAGGTCGGCCTGGACCTCACTGAGGCCTCTGTGTACTCTGGACTCTGCACAGAGATCCTCAAGAAGGAGAACATCCTCTTTCAGGAGTCTGTCTATTCCTTCATACATCTGAGCATCCAGGAGTTTCTCTCGGCCGTTTACATGTTCCACTGCTTTAACCACAAACAGGAGGAGCAGATGAAGAAGTTTCTTGGCGACTGGGAGGACCACATGCCGCTCCATGTGTTCCTCAAGAAGTCTGTGGAAAAGTCCTTTGAAAATGAGAGTGGGCGTCTGGACCTGTTTGTGCGCTTCCTTCATGGTTTACTGCAGGAGTCCAACCAGAGGCTGCTGAGAGTCCTGCTGGGTCCAGTCCAGACCGACTCACAGTCCATCCTGAAGACCATCCAGAACCTGAGGGACATGAACACTGGGAACATCTCTGCACACGCAAGCATCACCGTGTTCTGCTGCCTGAGCGAGATGAAGGACCACTCGGTCCATCAGCAGATCCTGGACCTCCTGAAGAGCGAGCTGGAGTCAGAACCCTCCGAGTTCCACTGCACCACTCTGGCCGAAAAACTGCAGATGCCTCAAGAGGTTCTGCAGGAGCTGCACATCAAGAGGTTCAAGGAACTTCCTGACGGAAGACTGAAACTGGTGCCACCGGACACCTGTCGAGAGGCCACGTGAGTATGAAGCACAGCTGCAGACTGTATACAGGTGCACAATGCTAACACAGACTGTATACAGATGCTATTGCTCACACAGACTGTATACAGGTGCACAATGCTAACACAGACTGTATACAGATTGACAATGCTAACACAGACTGTATACAGGTGCACAATGCTAACACAGGCTGTATACTGATTGACAATGCTAAAATAGACTGTATACAGATGCACAATGCTAACACAGACTGTATACAGATGCTATTGCTAACACAGACTGTATACAGATGGACAATGCTAACACAGACTGTATACAGATGCTATTGCTAACACAGACTGTATACAGGTGCACAATGCTAACACAGACTGTATACAGGTGCACAATGCTAACACAGACTGTATACATATCGACAATGCAAATGTTACACCACTCTGACAACTTGGTGTAGAAAAAAATGAGCTCTTTAATTTCTCCGGAAAACACAACGGAAAGAAAGGTACAAACAGACAGCAGCTGATCACAAAGACAGGTCCTTCAGTACCCCCCGCTTTTCAAAATCCTCACTGTTATAAACCAGGGCCGCGCGCGCTACCTGTGATCTCACGCGCTCCCTGTTAACTATTGTATTTCAATGCAATACCGTTACTTTAACACAAGGACAATTATTTCTTCAAAATTAAATAAGTTAACACACTTATTCTAGGTGCTACACTAACACAGACTGTATACAGGTGCACAATGCTAACACAGACTGTATACATATCGACAATGCTAACTAAATGAATAAAAACATGGTCTGACCCTGTAGGATTCTTTGGAGCGGTTTGTCGAAGGAGCACGCGGCGGTCGTGGCGGCGGCGCTGAGCTCGTCACAGCTCCAGCACCTGGACGTTTGGCTGCGCGACAGTGACGCGGTGGAGGCCTTTAGTGAAGGACTGAGGGACCATCACTGCAGACTGCAGACTCTGAGGTGGGAGAAGGTCCTGGGTCTCACTTTCTGAGTAGAGTTTGCATGTTCTCCTCATATCTGTGAAGTTTTCCTTTAGGTTCGCTCTGATTTTGCTCTCTGGTCTCTCTCTGGTCTCTCTCTGGTCTCTCTCTGGTCTCTCTGGTCTCTCTCTGGTCTCTCTCTGGTCTCTTTATTGTCTCTGGTCTCTCTCTGGTCTCTTTATTGTCTCTGGTCTCTCTCTCTCTAGTCTCTCTCTCTGGTCTTTATCTGGTCTCTCTCTGGTCTCTCTCTGGTCTCTCTCTGGTCTCTCTCTGGTCTCTCTCTGGTTTCTCTCTCTCTGGTCTCTCTCTGGTCTCTCTCTAGTCTCTCTCTCTCTGGTCTTTATCTGGTCTCGCTCTCTCTGGTCTCTCTCTGGTCTCTCACTGGTCTCTCTCTCTCTGGTCTCTCTCTGGTCTCTCTCTGGTCTCTCTCTCTCTCTGGTCTCTCTCTCTCTGGTCTCTCTCTGGTCTCTCTTTCTCTGGTCTCTCTTTCTCTGGTCTCTCTTTCTCTGGTCTCTCTCTGGTTTCTCTCTCTCTGGTCTCTCTCTTGTCTCTCTTTCTCTCTGGTCTCTCTCTGGTCTCTCTCTGGTCCCTCTCTGGTCTCTCTCTCTCTCTGGTCTCTCTCTGGTCTCTCTCTGGTCCCTCTCTGGTCTCTCTCTGGTCTCTCTCTGGTCTCTCTCTGGTCTCTCTCTGGTCTCTCTCTCTGGTCTCTCTCTGGTCTCTCTCTCTGGTCTCTCTCTGGTCTCTCCCTGGTCTCTCTCTGGTCTTCCCCTCAGTTCTGCCCTTCAGTGTCATCTGCAGCTATACTTTACAGTATGCACAGCTTTTGACAGCTGCAGCAGCTCTCAGACCTACAACAAACAGGTTTGACATCTCTGTGATTGTACCTCAGCTGTGGTGAGTTCAGGTGCTTAGAAAAGTGCATAAAGTGCCAAACAGCTGCTACTTCAGGATTTCACTACTTGTGTGTTTTTGTAGAACACATCACCCCTGTGACAAACCAGGGACCAGTGTGCACCATGTGTAATATGTTTTACTGTTCCTGGTGCAGCCTCCACCACAGCCGTCTGTCGGAGTCCAGCTGCTCCTGTCTGGTCTCGGCCCTGGACTCAAACCCGTCTCACTTGAGGAAACTGGACCTGAGCTGGAACGAGGACCTGCAGGACCCAGGACTGAAGACCCTCTGCTCCTTTCTACAGAGGTCACAGTGTCACCTGGAGGTCCTCAGGTAGGGTCAGAGGTCACGGTGTCACCTGGAGGTCCTCAGGTAGGGTCAGAGGTCACAGTGTCACCCGGAGGTCCTCAGGTCAGAGGTCACAGTGTCACCTGGAGGTCCTCAGGTCAGAGGTCACAGTGTCACCTGGAGGTCCTCAGGTAGGGTCAGAGGTCACAGTGTCACCCGGAGGTCCTCAGGTCAGAGGTCACAGTGTCACCTGGAGGTCCTCAGGTCAGAGGTCACAGTGTCACCTGGAGGTCCTCAGGTCAGAGGTCAGAGGTTACAGTGTCACCTGGAGGTCCTCAGGTCAGAGGTCACAGTGTCACCTGGAGGTCCTCAGGTCAGAGGTCAGAGGTTACAGTGTCACCTGGAGGTCCTCAGGTAGGGTCAGAGGTCACAGTGTCACCCGGAGGTCCTCAGGTCAGAGGTCACAGTGTCACCTGGAGGTCCTCAGGTCAGAGGTCACAGTGTCACCTGGAGGTCCTCAGGTCAGAGGTCAGAGGTTACAGTGTCACCTGGAGGTTCTCAGGTCAGAGGTCACAGTGTCACCTGGAGGTCTTCAGGTCAGAGGTCACAGTGTCACCTGGAGGTCCTCAGGTCAGAGGTTACAGTGTCACCTGGAGGTCCTCAGGTCAGAGGTCACAGTGTCACCTGGAGGTCTTCAGGTCAGAGGTCAAGGTGTCACTTGGAGGTCCTCAGGTCAGAGGTCACAGTGTCACCTGGAGGTCCTCAGATCAGAGTTCACAGTGTCACCTGGAGGTCCTCAGGTCAGAGGTCACAGTGTCACCTGGAGGTCTTCAGGTCAGAGGTCAAGGTGTCACTTGGAGGTCCTCAGGTCAGAGGTCACAGTGTCACCTGGAGGTCCTCAGTCCTCTGTCCTGCTCAACACTGCACTTCAGATATTTAGTCTAAATATAGGGGGAAGTGTCTTGCCTAAGGACACAACCACAGTTTGGCACTTTACAGCCGCAGCCGCCCCACTGTGGCACCTGCTGTTCAGAGGTCTCCCATCACAGTACAAACCAGGCCCTGTCCTGCTTAGCTTAGGACAGACCTCTGAGTAACTGGTGCTTGTTTGTGTAAAGCAGATTCCCTGTGACTCGCTGCTGCCCCCTGTGTCCAGGCTGGAGAACTGCGGCCTGGGTGAAGGCAGCTGCAGGTCCCTGAGCTCCGCCCTCATGGTGAATCCACATCACCTCAGAGAACTGGACGTGACTCAGAACCAGCTGGGTGACGGTGGAGTGGAGGCTCTATGCGAAGCTCTGCAGATGCCTCAGCTCAGACTGGAACATCTCAGGTCAGCGCTAAACATGAGTCCTTCCTTCGTTTCAAAGATGAGCCTCTGTTCTCCAAATGTATATAGAAAACTTCATGGAGGTGTGTGTGTGTGTGTGTGTGTGTGTGTTGAGCTATTGTCCTGTTTTTGTGTTTGTTTAATGTAATTATTTTGTTTTGTATATAATTGACTGTTGCTGCTGTACTGTTATTTCCTAATTTGATTTTGAGGACCTCCTCGGAAATGAGATGATTCATCTCAAGGGGTTATTCCTATTAATAAAAACTTTTATATATATTTTCTATTTAACCACTCAGTCACTGAGGAGAGGAAAGAAAACCTTTTCTTCTGATTGTCTTTTTCACTTTGAATAAATAGAAAATAAAACCTTCTCTGATCCTGACGAGCAACTGACAAACTGGACCCACAGAAGCTTCTGTGGGTCTTTCCTTGTGCTCTTGAGCAAACGTCCATGAGTGTGTGGTGTGTGTTTCAGGCTGGATAACTGCGGCCTCTCTGTGCTCAGCTGCTCCTGTCTGGCCTCTGCTCTGAGCTCAAACCCTGAGTCCAACCTGAAGAAACTGGACCTGAGCGTGAACGCCGTGAAGGACCATGGCGTGGAGCTTCTGTGTGGATACCTGCGCAGCCCACAGTGCCACCTGGAGGCCATCGAGTCAGTGCACTTCATACCTGTGTTAGGGAGTGGAGCCTCTGGAGGATGGACCAAAGACAGGCCTGAAGTCTCTACTTCAGCCTGTTTAGTGTCTGCGCAGGCACGAGGCTGTACTTGAGGCTCGTCAGTGCAATCGATCCTAAACCAGACTCTTTGTTTCAGGCTGAAGGGCTGCGGGCTCACGGAGACCAGCGGCGCCCTCCTGTCCTCGGCTCTGAACCCTCACATCAAAGACCTGAGGCTGAACTGGAACCCAGAGCTGAAGGACGCGGGCGCCGAGCACATGAGCGGGTTCCTGCGGAGAGAGGGCTGCGGCCTGGAGGTCCTGAGGTACGACCATGGATCTATAATAATAACATATGGATCTATAATAATAACATGGATCTATAATAATAACATGGATCTATAATAATAACATGGATCTATAATAATAACATGGATCTATAATAATAACATGGATCTATAATAATAACATGGATCTATAATAATAACATGGATCTATAATAATAACATGGATCTATAATAATAACATGGATCTATAATAATAACATGGATCTATAATAATAACATGGATCTATAATAACATGGATCTATAATAACATGGATCTATAATAATAACATGGATCTATAATAATAACATGGGTCTATAATAATAACATATGGATCTATAATAATAACATGGATCTATAATAATAACATATGGATCTATAATAATAACATGGATCTATAATAATAACATATGGATCTATAATAATAACATATGGATCTATAATAATAACATGGATCTATAATAATAACATGGATCTATAATAATAACATGGATCTATAATAATAACACATGGATCTATAATAATAACATGGATCTATAATAATAACATGGATCTATAATAATAACATGGATCTATAATAATAACATATGGATCTATAATAATAACATATGGATCTATAATAATAACATGGATCTATAATAATAACATGGATCTATAATAATAACATGGATCTATAATAATAACATGGATCTATAATAATAACATGGATCTATAATAATAACATGGATCTATAATAATAACATGGATCTATAATAATAACATGGATCTATAATAATAACATGGATCTATAATAATAACATGGATCTATAATAATAACATGGATCTATAATAATAACATGGATCTATAATAATAACATGGATCTATAATAATAACATGGATCTAATAATAACATGGATCTATAATAATAAAACATGGATCTATAATAATAACATGGATCTATAATAATAACATGGATCTATAATAATAACATGGATCTATAATAATATGGATCTATAATAATAACATGGATCTATAATAATAACATGGATCTATAATAATAAATGGATCTATAATAATAACATGGATCTATAATAATAACATGGATCTATAATAAACATGGATCTATAATAATAACATGGATCTATAATAATAACATGGATCTATAATAATAACATGGATCTATAATAATAACATGGATCTATAATAATAACATGGATCTATAATAATAACATGGATCTATAATAATAACATGGATCTATAATAATAACATGGATCTATAATAATAACATGGATCTATAATAATAACATGGATCTATAATAATAACATGGATCTATAATAATAACATGGATCTATAATAATAACATGGATCTATAATAATAACATGGATCTATAATAATAACATGGATCTATAATAATAACATGGATCTATAATAATAACATGGATCTATAATAATAACATGGATCTATAATAATAACATGGATCTATAATAATAACATTGGATCTATAATAATAACATGGATCTATAATAATAACATGGATCTATAATAATAACATGGATCTATAATAATAACATGGATCTATAATAATAACATGGATCTATAATAATAACATGGATCTATAATAATAACATGGATCTATAATAATAACATGGATCTATAATAATAACATGGATCTATAATAATAACATGGATCTATAATAATAACATGGATCTATAATAATAACATGGATCTATAATAATAACATGGATCTATAATAATAACATGGATCTATAATAATAACATGGATCTATAATAATAACATGGATCTATAATAATAACATGGATCTATAATAATAACATGGATCTATAATAATAACATGGATCTATAATAATAACATGGATCTATAATAATAACATGGATCTATAATAATAACATGGATCTATAATAATAACATGGATCTATAATAATAACATGGATCTATAATAATAACATGGATCTATAATAATAACATGGATCTATAATAATAACATGGATCTATAATAATAACATGGATCTATAATAATAACATGGATCTATAATAATAACATGGATCTATAATAATAACATGGATCTATAATAATAACATGGATCTATAATAATAACATGGATCTATAATAATAACATGGATCTATAATAATAACATGGATCTATAATAATAACATGGATCTATAATAATAACATGGATCTATAATAATAACATGGATCTATAATAATAACATGGATCTATAATAATAACATGGATCTATAATAATAACATGGATCTATAATAATAACATGGATCTATAATAATAACATGGATCTATAATAATAACATGGATCTATAATAACATGGATCTATAATAACATGGATCTATAATAACATGGATCTATAATAACATGGATCTATAATAATAACATGGATCTATAATAATAACATGGATCTATAATAATAACATGGATCTATAATAATAACATGGATCTATAATAATAACATGGATCTATAATAATAACATGGATCTATAATAATAACATGGATCTATAATAATAACATGGATCTATAATAATAATAATAATAACATGGATCTATAATAATAACATGGATCTATAATAATAACATGGATCTATAATAACATGGATCTATAATAATAACATGGATCTATAATAATAACATGGATCTAAAATAATAACATGGATCTATAATAATAACATGGATCTATAATAATAACATGGATCTATAATAATAACATGGATCTATAATAATAACATGGATCTATAATAATAACATGGATCTATAATAATAACATGGATCTATAATAATAACATGGATCTATAATAATAACATGGATCTATAATAATAACATGGATCTATAATAATAACATGGATCTATAATAATAACATGGATCTATAATAAAAACATGGATCTATAATAATAACATGGATCTATAATAATAACATGGATCTATAATAATAACATGGATCTATAATAATAACATGGATATATAATAATAACATGGAATATATAATAACATGGATCTATAATAATAACATGGATCTATAATAATAACATGGATCTATAATAACATGGATCTATAATAACATGGATCTATAATAACATGGATCTATAATAACATGGATCTATAATAATAACATGGATCTATAATAACATGGATATATAATGACATGGATCTATAATAATAACATGGATCTATAATAATAACATGGATCTATAATAACATGGATCTATAATAATAACATGGATCTATAATAACATGGATCTATAATAATAACATGGCTCTATAATAATAACATGGATCTAAAATAATAACATGGATCTATAATAATAACATGGATCTATAATAATAACATGGATCTATAATAATAACATGGATCTATAATAATAACATGGATCTATAATAATAACATGGATCTATAATAATAACATGGATCTATAATAATAACATGGATCTATAATAATAACATGGATCTATAATAATAACATGGATCTATAATAATAACATGGATATATAATAATAACATGGATCTATAATAAAAGCATGGATCTATAATAAAAACATGGATCTATAATAACATCGATCTATAATAACAACATGGATCTATAATAATAACATGGATCTATAATGATAACATGGATCTATAATAACATGGATCTATAATAACATGGATCTATAATAACAACATGGATCTATAATAATAACATGGATCTATAATAATAACATGGATCTATAATAACATGGATCTATAATAACATGGATCTATAATAATAACATGGATCTATAATAACATGGATATATAATAATAACATGGATCTATAATAATAACATGGATCTATAATAATAACATGGATCTATGATAATAACATGGATCTATAATAACATGGATCTATAATAATAACATGGATCTATAATAATAACATGGATCTATAATAATAACATGGATCTATAATAACATGGATCTATAATAATAACATGGATCTATAATAACATGGATCTGTAATAATAACATGGATCTATAATAATAACATGGATCTATAATAATAACATGGATCTATAATAATAACATGGATCTATAATAATAACATGGATCTATAATAACATGGATATATAATAACATGGATCTATAATAACATGGATCTATAATAATAACATGGATCTATAATAATAACATGGATCTATAATAACATGGATCTATAATAACATGGATCTATAATAATAACATGGCTCTATAATAATAACATGGATCTAAAATAATAACATGGATCTATAATAATAACATGGATCTATAATAATAACATGGATATATAATAATAACATGGATCTATAATAATAACTTGGATATATAATAATAACATGGATCTATAATAATAACATGGATCTATAATAATAACATGGATCTATAATAATAACATGGATATATAATAATAACATGGATCTATAATAAAAACATGGATCTATAATAAAAACATGGATCTATAATAATAACATGGATCTATAATAAAAACATGGATCTATAATAACATGGATCTATAATAAGAACATGGATCTAAAATAACATGGATCAATGATAATAACATGGATCTATAATAACATGGATCTATAATAACAACATGGATCTATAATAATAACATGGATCTATAATAATAACATGGATCTATAATAACATGGATATATAATAATAACATGAATCTATAATAATAACATGGATCTATAATAATAACATGGATCTATAATAACATGGATCTATAATAATAACATGGATCTATAATAACATGTATATATAATAATAACATGGATTTATTATAATAAAATGGATCTATAATAACATGGATATATAATAATAACATGGATCTATAATAATAACATGGATCTATAATAATAACATGGATCTATAATAACATGGATCTATAATAATAACATATGGATCTATAATAACATGGATATATAATAATAACATGGATCTATAATAATAACATGGATTTATAATAATAACATATGGATCTATA